CCTTGCGTGCCGCGATGGTCTCCGTCATGTGACGGTCCACCACGGCGAGGCTGTCGCGGAGGCTCCGCTCGCTGCCGACACCGAACGCCTTCTTGATGCGCCACAACAAGCTCGGGAACAGGAACCTCTGCATCGTCGCCTCGGTGGCCTCGTCAAAAGCGTTGGCGAAGGGGTTCTCCGGCAAGCCGGGGGACAGCGTCTCTGGGTCCTTGCCGAAGGTGAGGCCGCAGATGTTATCGAAGGTGAGGCGCAGGAGGAGGTCCTGGAGGTCCACGCTTGCGGCCGCGTTGCAGTGGTCGTCGAGGATACGCCACAGGCGGTACTTGATGGAGCGGTTGGCCCAGCGTGCCATGGCCTGGCGCAACGTCCGGGTGGTGAACTCGAGGGCTGCCGTCTTTCGCTGGATCAGCCACGTCTCGCCGTCGGAGTTGAAGATGCCCTGGCCGAGGAGGTCGTGGAACGATGCCTGCCACATGGGGCCCTTGGGGTAGTTGTCGAAGCGCGCGCGCAGGATGTGCTCAAGGTTCCGCGGGTTGCACGTCACCGTCACCAGCCCCTGCCGCCGCGCCAGGAATGGCAGAGGCAGGATGCACGTCTGGTACGTCGCGGCGTCACCCGTGGCGCGCAGGTTGTCGGCGATCCAGTCGTGCACCCGCGCCCGGTTCAGCACGACGCTGGGTAGGCTGCCGACGAGCGGCCACATCCGTGGCCCGGACAGCCGCCGCGACAGCGCCCAGAACCACACCATGTACGCCGAAGCCAATGCCACGGCAGCCGCGGCCATGGCGTAGGGGTGCAGCTGCAACACGCCGCCATCGGTCGCCATGGCCCTGCGTGGGTGCGTTTTAAGCTCGCAACCACACACCTTGCTAAGTGGAGATATAATTAAGAGGGGGCGGGTTTAGCACTATGTGATTTAGAAATGGTGCGGTGCGCCTGGTGAGTTGAGAAATGTGTTTGGCGCCATCGTGTATATATATGTGCACTTCACACGAGCCGTGTGGCGTTGCTTCCCTTGTCGGCCCAAGTTTAAGTCTCTCAAGTTTTTGAATTCAACAAGGGGAAATAAAATTCATTGCTCTTGTTCATACTTCTTGCCTTCTTGGCCATTCTTCCTAACAAGAAATTTAGCGACGTTGTTCTGTTGTTCACTCCAGTAGATAAACAAATTGTGTTTGGTGCTCTCTTCTCTTTTTTTTTTTTTGGCAAACATTGCAACAGAAAGCGAGGAGCGTCCTCGGTATTGGACTATCGCGGACTGGTTTCGGCGCAGAAAATTCAGTGCGTGTATCATCTTGATATAAGTCTCTGTTTTTCCTTTCGTCTTGCTGTTGGTGCAAACTAGGGAGAAGGTTGCCCATACTTTTACCAATCATTTTCGTCAAGTGTTTCCCTAGAAGCAGCGCAGGCAGCGCACCAATGTTGTTTCGTATAACCGGCCAGCGAAAGTAGTAGGTGAGAAATATGGGTCTCCTCTCTTACCAATATTCATCCAACCTACTAGTAACATACAACAAAGAGAGAAATTTCGGATAGGAATAAGTTCGTCTGAGGTCCCTTAACTTGTCAACGAATCCGATTTTCATCCTTCAACCGGAAAACCAGATACAACAGGTCCCTCAACTATTAAAACCGGTGCAGATAAGGTCCCTCGGCGGTTTAGATGGCGGTTTTGGCTGACGTGGCGCCTACGTGGCAAATTCGACTCGGTCTTCATATGACATGGCACTTACGTGGCAATTTGATCCGAAAAAATAATAAACCCTGTGGGACCCACATGTCTGTTTCACATACAAAATAATAATAAAAAAAATGGTGGGACCCACGTGGGCCCCACATGTCATCCTCCCATCCCTCATCTTCTTCCCGTTATCCTCTCTCTCTTTTTCACGATGTGCACTGGGGCAGCGGGCGAAGTGGGGAGACGGCGGCTGGAGCGGCGGCGCGCGAAGACCACCTTCGATCGTGACGAGCTCGAAGACCACCTCTGCGTTGCCACCGCCACCGCGGCGGCGGCCAGCACCCCCACCGCCTCATCCACTCCGACCACGACCCCGCCGCCCTCCAACTCCAACCTCCTCCTCCACCCACCGCCCGGCGCCGCGCCCTCCAAGTCCCACCGCATCGGCCTCCCTACCAATCCCAATTGCAACCCCAAACCCTAGCCTCCCCTCTCCTCCCTGCCCCCCGTGATGGAGGTCGAGATCAAGCTCCGCCTCCCCGACGCCGCCGCGCACCGTCGCCTCTCCTTCCTCGCGCCCCGTCTCCGCCGCGCACCTCCGCCTCTCCTCCTTCCTCACGCCCCGCCTCCGCCGCACCACCGCCGCGCTCCGTGTCCATCTCTACGGCCTCGACGACCGCGCCATCCTCGCGCTCAAGCGCTGCCCGCGCATCGACGGCGGCGTCAGCCGCGTCGAGGAGGTCGAGGAGCCTCTCGACCCCGCCATCGCCCTCGAGGATGAGAAGGCGTTGGTGGCGAGTGGAGGAGGCGGTGGTTGACGCACGTGACGAGGTAGGTGGTGAATCGGTGGGGGCGTGGGGCGCCGTGAGAGAGCATGTGGACGCGGAGCGCGTCGCGGATTTCTCCCGCTCCCCTCGGCCTCCGCCCGCGTCTCCTCTCCTTCCGCCGGCCGAGTGCACGCGCCGGTCCTCTCCTCCCTCCGGCCGGCGCCCACGCCCGCGCCTGCGCACCGCTCCTCTCCTCCCTCCGGCTGACGCTCGTGTGCTGCTTCTTTCCCAGCGGCTGCCGGCAATAGGCCCGAGGGGGCGGAAGTGGAGGAGGCTGCGCCTCTCCAAGCCGTCGTTATCTCCGCCGGCCGGCGAGACTGCGAGAGGAGGGAGGAGAGGGGAGAGAGATGGAGAAATGAGGAAGAAGAGGAGGGCTGGGAGTATGACAGGTGGGCCTCACGTGGGTCCCACCATTTTTTAATGTGAAACTAACATGTGGGTCCCACGGGTTTTATTATTTTTTCCGATAGAATTGCCACGTAAGCGCCACGTCAAACGAAGACCGAGTCAAATTGGCCATGTAGGCGCCACGTCAGCCAAAACCACCCTCAAAACCGCCGAGGGACCTAATTTGCGCCGGTTTTGAGAGTTGAGGGACTCGTTATGTCTGATTTTCCGTTTGAGGGACGAAAATCGGATTCATTGACAAGTCAACGGACCTCAAATGAACTTATTCCTTTCGGATATGCCATGGTCGTCGGCCTTCGAATCCTGGGCGGCCCACTTTGCATGGTGGATGGGCCATTATGTTTAGCTAAGGAAACAGACCTGATTCGGCTGGATTCAAGTCCAATTTTAGCCAAGTTTGATTCGTATCCTTTGAACTACAAAACCATGTAAAAAGATAGAGAGAATCTATTATATGCCACTCGAAATTACCCGGCTTCCATATATGCTACCGAAAAAGTTACATTTCCTTCTATGCCGTTGGGTTTCAATTTTTATCTCTTTAGTGCCACTACTGTTAGACTACTGTTAAGTTGGTGTTAAGTAGGCCATGAAAAGACACTAGTGCCCTTGTTCCCTCTGTTTTTTCTCAGGTTCCTCTCACTCTCGTTTCTGTTCTTTTCACCATCGTGCATATTCCATCACCGAGACACTAACTGAGCTAGCTCCTGTAGTCCCACACTCCCACTATTGTGTGACATCGTCTGCTCCTCTCCATGCATACCAGAGAGGTTGCTAATATCGGTGAACCACCTCCACAGGCTCTGCTGAACAAGCTTCCGTAATTAACTGTAGGCACACATTTAATTATCCTTGATTGCAAGCTTGCAGTCATTTGATGTAACCATTGGCACACATTTAATTTGCATCAAGGGCACATATATACTAGACCATGAATTAACTATCGGCACACATTTAATTATTCTTGATTTTAGCTTGCATTCATTTAACTAATCATCTTGATTCGCTGGGAGTCCAAGGATGAAGAGAGTGCTAGGCGCATTTCAGATCGTTAATTAGTGATAGCATGGACAGAAGAGTGAGGGTAAAACAGATATAGGAAGAAAAATCTAACATGTTAACTCACTTAACGGGAGCTAGGGTCAACTGACTTGACGGTGGTGGTATCAAAGGGATGAAAACTAAAACTCAGTGGGCATAAAAGGAAACGTAGAATTTTCAATGGCTTTTAAAGGAAATGAGTAATTTTGAGTGGCATGTAAGAAATTTTCTCAAAAAGATATCCCTCAACTATTAAAACCAAATCAATTTACCACAGTGGACAGTTTTTGTTTTGAAGCTTGTTTCATCCTAAGAGGCATTTTGACCTGGTTAACTCATATCATAGGTCCTTTGTCAATCTTCTATCTGCTTCTTTCGTTCTTATCTCATTTTCTCCGCTTGAGTGTGGCCGCACCTCACCACCTCCACCGCACACAACCATGTCACGACCACATCCCCCACCGTCGGCACCGAGCAGTGCCACCACCACCACCCCTTGCCAGTGCCCCAGGGACCGATCGATCTGTGAAACTGGTGTCGAGGGCAAAGAGGCACCGGAGGAGCCGAGTGCGATGAGGCAGTGTCTAGTGCCAAGCAATGGACACCTGCATCGGGAGAGGCAGAGCCAGTGATGGGAACTTGATGCTAGCATCCACATCCTTCCTAAAGCCTAGGCAATGACAACGGATCAGGATGAGCTTCGCCCCGCCTCTAACTCTGTGTTGTAAGGGTGGACAAAAAAAAACTCGTGGCTCGTTAGCTCGCTCGGCACTTGGTTGGCTCGGCTCATTGTGTTTTTCTAACGAGACGAGCTGACAATTTAGCTCGTTAAAGATAACGAGCTAGCTCGAATTGGCTCGCGAGTTGCTCACGAGCCAATGATAGCCCAACCCACAAGCCCATATGGAACTAGCTATGTCTTTGTCGACAAATCCTTGGGTCAAAATCACCCAGATTTTTTTCTACCGTTAGATTAAGATCCAGAGGACACAAAAAATGCTACATATTTTTTTCTCTGACTAGTCAGATCACAAAACTACATGGGCTCGAATTCTAGCCCATAGAACAATACAAAAAATTATACAGGCCATAACTGCAAATACATCATGGCCCATAATGATCAACTTCACATCCAATAAAGGTTAGAAAAAAACAAAATAACACAGGGAGACCACACCAGTTCGCACAAATCCCCTAGATCGAGCAAAACAAATCGAGCACGCCATAGACAGTGAGGAGAACGAGAAAAAGAAGAAGAAGCAAATTCTTACCAAGAACATTGAGGTCAAGAAGTTGAAATCAACAAGACATAATCTTCCAGGTAACAAATTACCTAGCACAAAATCCACCTTTACCTTTCCCCATTGACTTCACCATATTCTGCCAGTCATCTTTTAAATCAAACAAAAACAACTCAGTTCTGTAAAAATATTGGAGAAAAGCACTTGGAATAGTGAATTTCTTTTGGAGAAAAGTGCTTGGAATAGGAAATTTCTTTAGATCAAGTAGTTAAAAGTATGTAACTTTTTCAGAAAAACTCGTAACAAAAACTATCAATCTATAGTCAGTTACAGTTACAAATAACAAAAGTTACATATATAACTACAGTACATCTAAACTGTAACTGGGCTGTAAATGGAATCATTCTTAAATTTCTTAAAAAATTCAGTACTTATACTGCGACATTAAAACATTTCCCCAATTATAACAAACTCTAAATTATGTTACAAATATATAAAGAGCTATCTATCTATAGTCAGTTACAGTGAGAAATAACAAAAGTTACAGATGTAACTACTGTACATCTAACTGTAACTGGGTTGTAAATGGAATCATTCTTAAATTTCTTTAAAAATTCAGTATTCATGCAGCAACATTAAAACACTTTCCCCTAGTATAACAAGCTCTAAATTATGTTACAAATATATAAAGAACTATTTATCTACGGTCAGTTACAGTGAGAAATAACAAAAGTTACAGATGTAACTACAGTACATTTGAACAGTAACTGGGTTATAACTGGAATCATCCTTTGATTTTTTTAAAAAAAAATTCAGTGCTCATGCACTAACTTTTTTTTTGCCTATGACAAAATGTTCTAAATTATATTACAAATAACCTAATCATGTAGGGTCAGGTATATTGCAATCTCAAAAATCAGGAGATACACAATCAGATGGATATGAAATGAGAAGCAAAATTGTGTCTGAAGAAATGAGAAGCAAGAAGACAGTTAAAGGTGAGAATCATTCTCACCTAGCATTATGGACCATTTTTTATCTTGTCAGAAAATGTCATCTAGCAAAAATTTATATACAACAAATTAGAGATAGTAGCATGATAAATTTTTAAAGAACTATATATCTATATCCAGTTACAGTGAGAAATAACAGAAATTACATATGTAACTACAGTACATATTGACTGTAACTGGGCTTTAACTGCAATCATGCTTGAATTTCTTCAAAAAATTCAGTACTCATGCAACAGCATTAACATTTTTTTACTATTATGACTTGTTCTAAATTGTACTACAAATGATTGAAACATGCAACGCCTGATAGATTAGAAGCTCAAGCAACAGTGAATACAGAGTCAAATAGATGTCAAAGTGACAAAATTTTCTCAGAAAAATTAATAAGCAAGAAGACACTTGAAGGTCAGAACAATGGACAGATAGCATTATGCACCAAATTTGATCTTGTCAGTCATAAAATCTAGCACAATTTTGTATACATGAAAGCATGATTTTTTTTTTGAAAAACTATCTATCTCCAGTTACAGTGAGAAGTAACAGAAGTTACATATGTAACTACAGTACATATTGACTGTAACTGGGATGTAACTACAATCATGCTTGAATTTCTTCAAAAAAATTTTGTCTAATATACATTATCTAAATTATATTACAAATAACCTATCTATGCAGGTTCTGTTACAATTCGATCTCAAGTAACAGTGGATACATAATCAGAGAGATCTGAAAGAGATAACATTAATTTCGTCTGATGAAAAAAGAAGCAAGAAGACAACTAAAGGTCATAATCATGATAACCTAGCATTATGGTCCATATTTGACCTTGACAGACAATTTAATCTAGCACATATATTAGAGATGGCGGCTTTGAAAAATCTAAAGACCTATCTATCTATAGTCAGTTACAGTGAGAAATAAGAAAAGTTACATATGTAACTACATTACATCTGAACTGTAACTAGGCTATAACAGCTTTCATGCTTGAATTTCTTCAAAAAAATTTAGTACTCATGCAGCAGCATTAAATATTTTCCCCTATTATAACAAGTTCTAAATTATGTTACAAATAATATAAACATGCAGGGTCTGATGGGTTACAGTCTGAAAAATCAGGGGATATGCAATCGGAGAGATATGAAAGTGACAAAATTTTGTCCAGAGAAATAAGAAGCAAGAAAACATTGAAAGGTCAGTTATCATGCTCACCTAGCATTATGCACCATAAAATGATCTTGGCAGACAATATAATCTAGCATAAAATTATATACAACAAATTAGAGATTGTAGCGTTGATAAATTTTCAAGGACTATATATCTATAGTTAGTTACAGTGAGAAATAACAAAAGTTACATATGTAACTACAATACATATAGACTGTAACTGGGCTAAAACTGCAAGCATGCTTGAATTTCTTCAAAAAATAAAGAATTTCTTCAGAAAAGGAGTCACTTTGTCACAACGGACTGAAGATTTTCCTCAAGTGAAAATCATCTTCAGACCGTGGTGTTTAACAAAGCACAACAATTAGATTAGAGCCTAGGATAAAAAAAACAGAGCATTGTGGTCCAAACGGTCATATCTCCAGTTGTGTACAAATTTGCCCATATATTAAATTTTGTACATAATTTGCACATATCTCAAACTTCTGTGCACATATATTAAAATCACTCGACAACAAGATGTGACAAGTTAGCTGATGCAGAAGGGAATGGACCAGAAGGGAATGGACCAGACAGGGTGTTGTTGTTGAGCCTCCCGATTAAATTTCACAGCAAATGAGTTAACTGACTAACAAGCTCCACACATAATTAACATGGGAACAATATTGGGATGGGACGATGGGTCATTCAGAATAAAGAAGAAAAAAAATCATACAGATATTTCAGGCATGTGAATACCTCCAGGCACCCAAGTGACCTTGGTTTTGCTACCATTGAAATGCATTAGATCAACATTAGACTGAAACCCTCCAAATTATTTTTCAGTTTGCTGAAGTATGAGATTTTAAAAAGCTCATGTCGACTGAAACTGTGCAATAGCCTGCTCCAAGATTCAAAAAATACTGACAATTCAAATAGATTTACGAGCGTGCTATCCCCTGTTCCCAATTCAGAAATAGTGCCAATTATGTTCCCAAGTTCAGAAATAGCGCCAATTCAAACAGATTTACGATTTACGAGCGATTGACAATGAACAAAAGTTCAGAAGAGAAGAAAGAGCAGATGCAACCAATAGCCCATAATTTCTCAAAGCAACAGGGACCAAGTTCAGGTATTGGCTTGCTGCTAACTCATTTAGATCAGCACTAAAAAGTTCAGAACATGTACAGGAATTTTATAAACCAAATAGTACAGTAGAATACAATCTGAAGAAAGCAGAACGCATGTAGGGGTTTGGGTTTAATTTAACCAAGCAACTCAGCATACTAGGAAATCAAACCGTACATCTCTGAAACGAAATGATTCATATGCTGCAGAAGGCAACACAAAACATACTTGGGGTTCAGTTAGCATGCATATGTAAAACGAAATTCTTCAGATGCATAAGAATTCAGATATATGCAGGGAGTTGACAGATAAATCATCTCTGAAACGAAATGCTTCACATGCAGAAAAATTCAGACTCATGCAAGGAGTTTAACAGATCAGTCAACTAATCACTGAAAGTGAAATGCAACATTCAGATAAAGTTGCAATGATGCTTCCCTACTATATTCAAATCACACATAAATCAAAGCAAAAATAATCAACTCATGAATCTGACCCCCTCCCTGAAGAAAATTCATGCAGGGATCCAAAAAATGATCAACTATCTGGGTGATTAGAAAAAACCCTAAATCCACCTCGAATTAAACCTTTAACTCCATCAAATACCCCTGAATCCAACCCCCAACATGAACACCCCTGAAGAAAAATCGAACCAAAAATACAAAAACCCTCGTGGATTAGAAAAAAAAACATAGAACACCATCGAATCTGGTCGTTTGCAAACAATGGACTAGTAACAAAACACCCTAGACTGAACTGAATCAAACTATAACTAAAAACTTAGGGAATCCAAAACCTAAACGGATTCCAAAACTAAAACAAGTGATTCTGAATCAGATCCATACGTTGGGAGCAAAAAAAAATCGTCATGTATTGACCCGAATCTTCTAAACCTAGCCCTATTGACATTGAAAAAACCAAAACACAAGCTAATGATGCCAGCAAATCAGGGAAGAAACTCAAAAAACACTCTCTCTCGAGTTGTCTCCCCCAGCGAGCGCGCGCGCTCTCTCTCTCCCGCCGGGGAGCTGCTCGTGCTCTCTCTCGCCGGCGAGCTCTCTCTCTCTCTCGACGGAGAAAACGAGAAGAGAAAAGAAAGAGGAGAAAGAGATGTAGAGAAAGAGCGAGAATAAAGAAAGAGAGCGAGGAAACAACCAACGGTTACGGACATAATAGCGCGGAATCCAAAATTTAACATGGGTTGGCCCACATTGACTCCCAGGCCATCTGCTCACAGGCCACACGGTCTCATCCACACAGGGAAATGCACGAATCATGGCGCAAATCCTACGGATAGAAAAACGACAAATATTGGGGGTGAAAATCTGTTGACAAAGATCTAGCAAAATCGAACCCCAATGCCCAGCCCAGCCTCTCTTCCCTTGCTCTAGAACAGCCGCTAGCTACGCCACAGCCCGCAGGTCACAGGAGCAGCACATCCCAGTGTCGTTGCCGAGGGCGCCAGCGCCGCTCGCCCGCCGCTGCCCAACACCGGCATCTCGCGCCCCCAGTCCCTAGCGCCACCGCCACTAGGAAGCAGCTCGAGCTCCTCCCCTGGCGCATGTATCCCATGGCACCATCAACCGTCCCAGCTACCCCTTGTGGGCTCACGCCGCTGCTGCGTTCCCTCCTGGCCTCTAGTCTGTATCATCGTCGATCTGCCAATCTGCCTTGTCGATTTGGTTGGTGATTTTGTTTGGTTGATCTTTTGGTTCGTTGATCCAGGAAATTAACCAGGCTTCAGATCTGGTAAATCTCGGGTAGCTGGTTGTGTTATTGGATTCAATTTCCCATATTTCAAACTGATGTGCACAAAAAATTCATGTCAAGAATTTTATTTGCTAGTTGCTTATTTTTATTCAATTGCAAAAATCATTTCTAGCAGCTCCTATAATATCAGATGTTATTTTTGAGACTTCGATGTTATTTTGAAGTGAAGACTAGTCAAGAGTGCATTGGCTCGCGAGCCAAACGAGCTAGCTCGAGCTTCTAGGCAAGCCGAGACGAGCCGGGGTTTTAGCTCTTTAGCATAACGAGCCGAGCCTAGCCAGCTCGGTATCCACCCCTACAGTGTCGTAGTGACTAGCTGCAATGCTTGACGCGCACCCTCCCCCTCTCTGTCACCGTCCTCCTCGGTAATCGATGACCACAAGGGCTCATGCTGCTGGGCGAGCGCATACGGAATATGCTTCACCCCTTCTCTAGCTCCGCGTCGGTGGTGGTAGTGATGCGACGGCCGCGGGGATGTGTTTGCGACCCGCCCTTCCCTCCTTGTTGCTGCCCTTCCTATAAATCAATGACCTTGGGGGTTCATGTCGCCATGTGAACGTCTGTCAGATGTGATTCATGGAAGATGGAGGCAGGAACGGCCACAGTAGCAGTTGCCTCATCGACGAGATGTCTGTAAAGCTTGCCCTGGGAACCTCCTAGGGGAGGGGGGGAGGGGAGGGGGGCTAACAAAAGATGGGATGGTGCCACGGTGGTAGAAGAGGAGACCGGGGCACATGCTCCCACCATTGCTCGCTCGCTTGGATCCAAAAGATGCGTGGCACCTGTGATGTGGAAGGAGAGGGGTTGCTCATTGCCGGTGTGGTGCAAAGAGTGGAGAGGTGAAGGTGTGTGTGAGAAAGAGGTGTATGTCACTGACATGTTGGTTCTAATAGTTATCTAGGCGTCACATCGGATGAAAACTGGGTCAATGTACCACGTAGACTTAATGTTGGATAAAACTGTCATCTCAGGAAGGAAAATTGAGCTAATTTTGATAGTTGAGTTAGTCTTTCTATCCGGTTTTAAAGTCGAGGATGAAATTTATCCGGTTTTAAAGTCGAGGGACGAAATTCAAACTAAGGCTAATAAAACGGACTTTTCCCTTTGCAGTGTTACATGGGCCGTATTTACACTACGGCATATGTGATGTGAGCATGGTCCAGACCAGGTAGTATCTACTACGACGAACCATCGAGAACCAAATGTCACTGGTGGAGAAACCCTTTGTAGTCCCGGTTCGTAACCCCCCTTTAGTCCCGGTTTCCAAACCGGGAGTACCAATCCGGGACTAAAGATCGCTATCTTTAGTCCCGGGTAAAATAACCGGGAGTAAAGATCGATCTTTAGTCCCGGTTGGTAACACCAACCGGGACTAAAGATAGAGCTGACCTTTTTTTTTTTTGCATGCCCCTGTTGCTGCATGGTTTATATATATATATATATATATATATATATATATATATATATATATATATATATATAAACCATGCATATATATGTTTCAATACATATATATGCATACATATATATATGTATTTATACATATATATGTTATGCAAATGCATATGTATATAGATATATATATGAACAAAATATATTTACATTATAGAAAATGTGTACACATGCATATAGAAACATATGTAGTCATGTATTAATTACAATCCATTATATGTCCTAGCTAGCTACGATTTCGACGTAGTAGTACTCGCTGCTAGCTCAGAAGCTAAGGACCGGTGAATTGTGTTTCCGTCGTAGTAGAATTCACCCTTGGGATCAAGGATTTCTTCGTTGATGAATCCCATGAGTTGTTCTTGAACCGCCGCGATAAATTCCTTGTGTGTGGTCAGGTTATCCCTCATGCGAATAAACTATATGAATGTATGAAATTGATTAGTAATTAAACAAGAAATCGCTACGTAATGAAATTTTGAATTTATTTGTACGTACATCGGGCTCTCTTGTGGTGATGATTTGGTCTGCAAGGCAGTGGCAATACTCGCACACGTAATAGCCGCACAAGTTAGTTCCCTGCTTTTGCTTTGCGCACTACAAATAAATGACAAACAACGAGAGATCTAATTAATATACACTTGTATGTATTTGAATCGGAGAAATATAAATGTAGAGCATGTGTACTCACAGGAAATTTGAACTTCCGCCTAAGTCTTTCTCTCCATTTGCCGCGGACCAAATGACGGAACCGATACCAAGCCCTACATGGAGTTTAAAGCTATGATTCGTAGTAGCAATTAACATAACAAGATTTTCTTAATTAACAAAGAAACTTATGACGGTACCTGTCTATAAGTTCGAAAACCTTGTCAAACGTAGACTCTTTTTTATCCATTGAGTCATATACGTTGACGGTGCAGGCCTCCAGGTCGATGAGTAAAAGCACCCAGTGGAATCTGCA